TTAACCATATACGTTAACCGATTAACACAGTGTTGGGGGCCTAAAAACTGAGTTTTTGGCGTAAAAACTGAGTTTTTGGAGTGGTTAATCGGTTAACCATATACGTTAACCGATTAACACTGTAAGTGTGAGAAAATATTATTTTTCAAAACCTCGAAAATTCATAACTTTTTCACCGTTTATCGGATTTTGACGTTCTTTATATCAAACTGAAGCTAATAAAATGTTCTACAACTTGGTGAAAAGAAATATTATTTTTGGCCAACTTTTAGCCGATTTTACCGATTAGTCAGGATTAATGATTTTGAGTGAGAAGAGCTTATAGTAGCTAGAGCGTCCGATTGCGATCGGTCTCGTCTCGTAAGGATAATTTGTGTGTTATTAATTGTTGTGTTATAGGTAGCCGTAAGGCGTGAACCCTAGTGTATGAATATGATTTTGAATCGTGGCCTTTGGGCAAATTATGCATTGTTTATAATTGAATAAAAATGCATGACAATTATGATGAATGATGAATATAATACACATTGTGAGTGCATGATGATTGTACGTGTTGATGTGTGAAGAATGCATGATAATATATTTGCGAATATGTATGCAGTTTGTGTTGATTGATCCCGTGTAGGATCTGCAGAGACATCGTGTGCCCATGTGGGGTGTGAGCGATGATCTATAACTGATTGAGTCATTTTGTATGAGAACGATGTATGAAATGGTGTGAAATAAATGATGAATATATATATTTGCATTATGATATATATGTTGTGAATGCATAATAAATGTATGCAGTGAAATGTGATAGATGCATGAGTATGTTTGTAAACATGTATGCATTTTGTGTTGATTGATCCCGCGTAGGATCTGCAGAAACCTCGTGTGCCCATGTGGGGTGTGAGCGATGGTTTATAGTTGATTGAGTCATGTTTGCATGTGAAGCATCATGATATGCATTTGTGTTATTTGATCCCGTGTAGGATCTGCAGAACCTCGTGTGCCCATGTGGGGTGTGAGCGATGGTTATATTTGATCCCGTGTAGGATCTGCAGAGACATCGTGTGCCCATGTGGGGTGTGAGCGATGGTCTATATTTGATTCCGCGTAGAATCTGCAGAACGATTGTGTGCCCTTGTGGGGTGTGAGCAATCGGATTGTGTGCCCATGTGGGGTGTGAGCAATCCATAAACATTGTGTGCCCATGTGGGGTGTGAGCAATGGGTGAACATCGTAGGCCCGACGGGGAGTTACTTCGGTAACGAGCGATGGTTCCATTTGGTTCTTCAATTGAACCTGCTGAATTGAGTCGGTACCGCATTTGCATCTGCATAGAGTCGTGAGTCGGTCTCCATGAGTTGCATAATTCATCTTTATATGATGCATTGGTGAAATAAACATGTATGTGAATGTTTATGTGAAATGGTGATGATATAAATATATTGTGTATGTTTATGTGAACTAACGCGAATTGCGATAATGGCATGAGTGAGTATGCTTGAAGATATGTATATATATGTGGGTTTACATGGATTGATGTAAACATTGGTGAATGCATATTGTATATGCTTGATGTTTTATTTATATATATAGATACTTATATGGATACATTGTGATGTATGGAATGATTGAGATGTATGAATAAATATAATTATAAATGTTTGTGTGAAAATGATGTGAATTGTAGAAGCATGATTGATGAGTATGCTTAGTTGTGTATATATATATATATACATGCAGTGTAATGTATGTGATGAATTGATGATTAAACATGATGGCGTATGTTATATGATTCATGATGAATGAAACATAACGTGTATGTTTGTGAGGATTAATTGTAATTGCGAATGTATGCATGATGAAATGCTTGGTTTTATACATATATGCTTTGCGATGTATGTTAGTGGGTATGTGGGGTATTGTGGTGAGGAGTATAATATGTGTATTTGATGCTATGGATATATATTATGTGCATGGTTATTGTGTTATTATGCATTGTGGTGAGAAAATGTGAAATGTATGTATTCTGTACTTGCGCATTTATATATGATTATGTGCTTTGATTATTATGGTAATATTTCTCACCCTTCTGCTGGAATGATGTCCTTTATGACATCGTGCAGGTATCTTGGAGTTGTACTGCTAGTAGTTGCGAGGTCTCTGCTGGTGCAGTCGTTTAGTATTTTAATTATGTTGGGTCGAGTCATGCTCTGGTTATGTAACACTGGGATCGTTTGGGTTTTTGCTTTAGAGATATTTTATGTATTTTAAGTTGTGTTTTAAATGTATCGAAATATTGTGATGTTGGCCTTAGTGCCCAAGAATTGTTGAATTATGAGATGAACATGAATTCTATGTGAAAAGAATTATGAATATAAATTGAATCCGCTGCTACATGCAAAGTGAACTTTGAAAAGCATGATTATTTTATTTGAGTGTTTAAAGCATGACAGGTGGTTTTGAAATTATGTGTGACGCCCTTTTGCGAAAGCATGTTAATTTACTCTGATTATTTATGTATTTTCATGTGGGGTTAGAAGGGTGTTACAATCACATCCTTACATGATACCAGATGCAGAGAGAAATCCATCTAGACCAACTCATCAAGAGATATTAGAAGATGAACAAACTAGAGCGGACTATATTGTGGCCATTGGGAGAAATGTTGAGCGTGCACCTTATCTAATGTTTGAGGATTTCCCCCGACTGATGTTTGCAGATTCATCCCCTTGACACATGGAAGTCTACCACAAGCCACTCCTAGCAAACACGCCTCAGATACATCTGATGGACTCTCCCTAGGTATATCTGAGGGACCTGCCTCAGATATACCTAAGAGGCTCGCTCTAGGTACACTTGTGAGACTCTTCCAAATTAGAAGAAATGATTAGGCTTGACATTTGTGCTTGAGGGACTATGTATTGATATATTTGTAAAAGACACATAAGAGATGTCGTATGACAACATATGAGGAGAAGCTACATAACATATCACCCCTTCCAGCTTCTTAGCCGCCCATTTATTGGAATAAGTGTCAGTTATTTAGTTGTGATGCTCATTTCTTATATCAACCACCCTCTATGAAAACATGGTGGTGATGTGTCCATATCCATAACAACACGAGAGAAAAAGTATAAAAGGAGAAAATTATGTTCTCCTTAATATTAAAAGAGTTCATTACATACATCTCGTGCTCTTGAGAGTGAGTATTACTCTCTTTAAGCCTATGACTCAGGTGCAAGGGATTCCTATAAATACCTAAACTCGAGGGACATCAAATTTTACCTCGAAAATACTAAATATAGAGCTTTTCACCTCCTTGCATGAACTTGCTCTAACAACACAACGACCTCAAAAACCTTTAACAGTCCCACACCACAAAATGTTTTCACGTATATGCCTTTAACAAGTATAACTCATCTTGCAATTTCTCATAATATACCATCTATATCATATTAAGAGGTGAGGAAAAACCATATTCAAGAATTATACATTTAAAGTTACAAAGAAGATAAAGGTTTCCACATAAAATTCAACAAACCTAAAAAAAACACATTTTAGTGTTCGTTTATATAATATCTAAATCAATCTTAAAAGTTAAATATTACATGACTAACTTGACACATTTTAAAAAGTTTGAAAGATCAAAATGATATTTTTTAAAATTATGAGAACAAAATAAACTCAAATATAAAATACAATATAAAAATGAATATTAAGCCATGATTAAATTATAATATGAAAATGAATAATTATAATATATATATATATATATATATATATATATATATATATATATATATATATATATATATATATATATATATATATATATATATATATATATATATATATATATATATTGTTTTGTTTTGTTTTTGTTTTAAGCATTAGTATTCGGTCCACTGAATTGAATAATTCGATTCGGAGATTAGTCATGATATCAAAATGTTTTTACGTATAGTTAGTTTATTCAATGGTGATTGAATATATTAGAGAGAATCAATATTTAAATTTAATATTATGAAATAATGTTTATTTTATTTTATTTTTAATTTTAATGTTAGTTTATTGTAGGGCTGGCAATGAACCGAACCAACTCGAAAATAGTTCGAAATTCGATTCGACAATTAAATCGTTGAACTAGGTTCATGAACCAAATGAGTTGAGTATGAGCGAAAAATTAAGTTCGTTAACTAAATGAGCTGAACTTGAACTATACATAGTTCGACTCGTTAGGTTCATGAGTCAACTCGATTACATATGAGAAAAATTATACTGTCTTTAAGATTAGGTTTAAATATTTACTCCAAATCTTAGACAAATTTAATCTTCAATTTAGTAGTTTTTGAATTAGACTCTCAGATGTATCTCTTGAAAGTTGTGTAAGTTTTGAATTAGTAGATTTCGAAGATAAAGTTAAATTTCAATATGATAACTTTTATTTTATTTAAATATTTTATTTTAAAAAAATATATTTATTTAAAATGTCAAATATACTAAAAAATATATATATGTAAAAAAAATAGCTTTTAAGTCCGTGAATCATGTGAACTGAACCTAATGAGATGAACCTAACGAGTTGAACCGAACTGTTCGAGAACTTATAACGAGTCGAGTTTGAGCTTAAAAAAAAGTTCGTGTTGAAATCGAACTCGAACTCGAACTCGAACAAATCTTAACGAGTCGAGCCGAGCTGAGGTGAGTTCGACTCGACTCGACTCATTTCCAGCCCTAGTTTATTGAATCAAATGAGTTATTTTATTAAACCACCCATAAAGTTAATGCTAAAAATAATTGTTTCTGAATTTATAAAGAATAAAACTACGCAAAATAACTTATAGTTAGAGGATTCAATAAAAAAAAAAAAACTTAAATTAAATATAATAAAAATAGTTATAAAGTAAAACCCACACATTACATTGAAAAACCTATTCTTTAACTTTCTTCGTTTCTCCAATTCTTAGATTCCAAATTCTCCATCTCTGCGTTCCCAAACATTCAGAAAAATGGACAACACCGCATTCAAAAATCCAAACTTTGGTGACGAAGAAGATGAAGAAGTGCCTGATTCCTTTTCTTGTTGCGTTTGTCTGTAAGTTTCTATCACCATGTTTTAATTTTTAGCCGAAACCTAGCTTCAATTTTGTTCGCAAATTCTTATTCACAATTAAAAGAAATGGAAATTTTGTTCTTAAATTGATTTAAGTTGATTAGAACAATTCGATTTGTTTATGTTTTGTTTTAGGATCTGAAAGTTGTTATTCGATCATATAAAATGTAAATTTGGTATCTTAAATTTCAATTGATTGCAAACCACAGAATGTGCCTCTCTTTTGCTGCTTGATATGAATTGTACATTCATGAATTTAGAAATTTTTATTCTATGATTGATTCTGCGGTGAAAAAAATTGATTTTGAGTGAATTGATTATGGTTAAAGCGATTTATGTTTGGAATGCAAAATTGAGTTGACCAAGAAATCTCAATGGAAAAATCAAGTTTAAACTTAAAAACTACTACAAAGCTTAAGTAGAATCAATTTTGGAATGAATGCAAAATTGTGTTGACCAGGAAATTTCAATGGAAAAATCAAGTTTGAACTCAAGCTACAAATTCTAGCTCCAAGAATCAATTCTAGAGGCCAGCTCAGTTATACTCTAGTATAACCAAACATCTCAAAATTGTTTAAAAATCAATTCTACACCTCTAAAAGAGCTTTAGCCTCTTCCAAAATTTAAACCTAACACACACTAAAGTTAAAAGGGTGTGTGTTTGGATTGGCGGTAGACAAAATTGATTTTGATAGAATTGAGTTTAGAATTGATTCTAACAGAATTGAGTCCAGCAGAATTGATTTATAGTTGGTTACATTTATGTAAAAGTTAAAATCAGTTGAACAACACATTTTAGGATAAAAATCACGTTTAAACTCAGAAGCTACAAATTCTAGCTTCAAGTAGAATCAATTCTACTTAAGAAGAACCAAACACTTCAAAATCACTCCAAAATCAATTTCACACATCTAGAATTGTTTTTGTCTCTTCCAGAAGTCAAACCAAACATGCTATTCTTGGGATTTGACACGTTTCATATGCTTATTTTTGAGCTGCTTTGTTTTCTTTATCAAATTGTACTTACTGATTTTGACACTCTTTCATCATGCAGGGATCTATTATACAAGCCCATTGTACTATGTAAGGAAACAATATTTTCTTAAAATATATATTAAAAATGCGAGTAGTGTTGTGAATTTTGTCTTTTTTCCTCCATTTTTGCAGCTTGTGGTCACATATGTTGTTTCTGGTGTGTCTATAAATCAATGAATTGTCTGCGGGAGTCTCAGTGTCCAACATGTAGGCATCAATACTATCACTTCCCAACAGTCTGTCAAGCGCTTCATTTTTTGCTTCTTAAGATCTATCCTGTTGCTTACAATAGAAGGATCAATCAAACTCTTGGTATGTATCTTTCTCTAACTGTATGCATAAGCATATTTAGATATAAATGTATGATTTTTGCAGTGTGGTATGTAAAATTACTAGTTAGTACCATGTGCAGTCAATGGTTATGTTGTATCTTTTACCTACCCAAAACACAATCATATATTATAAGATTATCCGCATCCATTGCAATAAAACATGACAGAATGGATAAATTTATGTAACTTCGTTGAGTTTAATTTCTTATGTTTTATTGATCTCGTGAACTTTATTTTATGATTTTGCTCTATCTTGTTTAATGTATTCTTATTATTTTTATCTATGTTTGACAAATTGATCTCTTGTTTTAGAGGAAGAGAAGAAATCAGGCTTCTATTCCCCTCAATTTGATCCCGACACATGTGAATCACAAGCTAAATTCGGTCATTCATGTAGCCCTTCTTCCTCCTCTATGATATATCCGGTGCCCAACTCATGCAATGTGGAAACTTTTGAATGTACAAAGCAACCAGAGTTCACTGCCCATGAAGCAGAGCCTGAAACTACTGGGACTCTGGCTGAAGAAAAAACATTGCCTCATGATAAGCTTGACATAAAACAAAAAATATCAGTTGCTGATGTGATGTGTACAATGTGCAAGCAGCTTCTTTTTCGTCCCGTAGTTCTTAATTGTGGTCATGGTACTCAATATATTTAATTTTTCTTTCAATTATATTATCAAAACTATCATTATCAGAACACTTAATTGAGATTGTTTTTGCTCTACTTTCCCTTGTCTCTGCAGTATATTGTGAAACTTGTGTCTACAAGTTAGCTGATGAGATGCTTAGATGCCAAGTTTGTCAAAGTCCACATCCAAGAGGTTTTCCAAAAGTGTGTTTGGAGTTTAATCACTTTTTGGAGGAACAATTTCCTGAAGAATATGCACGGCGAAGTGATGCTATTGAACTAAAGGAAATCAAAGTCAAACCCGAGACCCCTTCTTGTATGTATACTTGGGTCTGCTACATTATGTTTAATATCGTGAAGCATATAATATTTCTAATGAAATAATTATAATATGTGTGAATATATTCCATGTTTTTTAAGATAAAGATATTAGATTCTTCATATAGACGTTGACCTGTTGAAGTAGTGAGAGTTGAAGCGTGATAATTGAAATTAATGAAACCTAAGGAAGAATATTGAACTGAAGGTTTTCCCAAGGATTAGAACATCTACAATAAAGTTATAACTGAAAATACATCTTCTTCGATTGCTTACGTTGAGACCTTTGTTATTCCACCCACATCGGTCCACCCCTCGAATGTCCAATCATAAGTGTAAGAGTGCGTGTTAAGAATCCCATATCAACTAGATATTTGACACAGGTAGTGCTGAATTGCTTATAATGCTTGGGTAGTTCTCTTCTTGCAAGTCAGTTTCGTGGGGTTTTGTTAAGCACAATATGATATCAAAATTTATCTTAGATCTGTTACGGAGCCAAATATCTTTGTTATTCCACCCATAAATGTCCATCCTTAGGCGTGAGGGTGTATCGAGAGAGATCCTGTTGTTCCACTCAGATTGGTTCACGCTTCAGATGTGATGACGAGTCCTGAGAGTGAGTTGATGAATTGAGTCTCACATTGGCTAGAGATTTTCCCTATGTAATGCTTACAAAGCTTGGGTAGTCCTCAACATACAAGTTAGTTTTGTCGGTTATGGTAGGCTTTTTACTCAAGTTCAAATAGTTTACAACTCACCACATCAACTGGATTCCCCTTATTCCAAATTTGTTCATCAAATTCTGGATTGTAAATAAATCCAGCTCTTTGGTTGTGAGTGCTGTCCATATGTTGAGGTCTCATGGATTCCCTAATTCTTTGTTATAGTCTCCCCATCCTGCTTCTCTACAAAAGCTTTGAGATCAATTCCCTTACTTTATAAGCTTTTTTTTTTTTTTTTTGGCAAAAAATGCATGTTGAAATAATCCGATTTTTAGTAAAGGAAGAGGAAAAGAGGAATATACTGTATAATCTGATGATTGAAATCAATGTTGATTTGGTGTCACACAATTCAAATCATTTAAAACTCCTAATTTCAGTTTAATAAGGAGATGAGTTATGAAATATTGAAACCATTCAAAACTTATCATTTACATATATGACACCCTAAAATACCCTACAATACATTCTCTGTTTTTCAAGTGGTTACTTTACACGCACTTTGATGTTTCTATACCTTTTGGTATTCTTCTAGTTACTATGTATTTTCTTCTTTCTCAGGTTCATTGGATAAGGGTAACAAAGGAGAAAATACAGAATGGTGGTCTGATCCTGACTTAAAAGTTCACATTGGAGTTGGTTGTGACTTTTGTGGGGTAAGATCTTAATCCCCTCATATCCTGCATTATGTATTGATATGTTGTTTTATTGTTGTTTCTATATTTTAGATTTCCTTTACCAAACTAGTTTTATGTCTATGTTAGTGATCTGCAATGTGATAATGAGTTAGCTTGTATGTGCAGATGTTTCCTATCATTGGAGATAGATATAGGTGCACCGATTGCAAGGAGAAAATGGGTTTTGATCTTTGTAAAGATTGCTATGACACCCGCTCTAAACTTCCAGGCCGATTTAATCAACAACACACCTCAGATCATAGTTTCAAGCTTGTACAACCCAACTATATTCGTAACATAATGTTGAGGCTGGTCACCGGACAGTTAGGCGACAGGTCCATCGACACCGAGTCTTTAAGTAACATAGATTTTACAGCCGAAGCCTCTGGGTTGTTTGATGATGGTGAAGATAACCAGAATGACCCCGAAGCTACCGGTTGAAAATTCGAACCCCAAAATAATCATGGTCTATTGTTGGTGATATTGCATAGCTTCTTGCTGATTTTAGAGATGCAAATAATGCAATACTTGGAGCATGTTTTCAAATCAATTCCTAACTGAATCTTTCTACAGATTGTGGAAATCAGTGACAGGTTATTTTAGGCCTTCATGGCAAGATTCTTGAAGATATTCGGGAAAGTACATATTTTTAGGAGTTTGCATGAGATGTGTGAAAATCTGTATTTTTTAAAAATATAATCTGTATAGAATTACTAAATTTTAGTCTAGAAATCGAAATGTGCGAGAATGAAATTTGAATACTCAGAATCTAAACTGTATTGGTGAGATTATTGGTACTTAAACTACAATAAAATGAAATGGGCCCTTAATTTATTAATTGGAAACATTGAATGTCCAATCAGTTTTTTAAATGACCTGTCTGGTAAAATCACATATGTTCTATTTGAATTTAATGAAACATAGTACCAATGTTGGTACAACCTTGCTTTTCTCTCTCATTTTCTGACATGTTTGTTTTGACACATTCTTTTGATTGCTGGATTATATTTACTACCTCCTTTCCATTTTTCCATTTTTGTTGTTGCTGTTTTTGTCAAGTAATTACGAAGTGTAAGAAATCATGACTTCAAATTCTACAAACTAAATTGTATTTACCAAACTCCTTATCATCTTTAGAGTGTATTAGAGAATTTTAAACAATTTAAATGATTCATTATTAGATATGAGGCTGTATTCATAAATTATAAAATATTTTAGCTCAATTGAAAATATGTAAAATATGATCAATTTGCAATTTTTGAACATTTGAAGAGAATTTAAAAATTATTAAGAACTTATTTGTAATTTTTTTAAAATTTTAAGAATGAATTAATTTTTTATATAAAATATGAGAACCATTTTATAAATTTTAAAAAATTAATAATAAATAATTTAACACTCACATTATAAAATAAACAATTTCAAATTCTTTATTTTTTGGTGTCATTTAAAATTTCATAAATTTAGCTTGAACAAAATACTTTATAAATTTATATTATTTTAATAATTTTTTTTTAAATTTTATCTAAACAGTAAATTTTGATAAAGTCATTTTAAAATATTTTATCCAAACACTCTTAGAATATGTGTAGTAAGATCAAAAAATTAATTTTTTACCTTTTAACTTTTCTAACTCATTAATTAAAAACTCTATTTGATAACAATTTTTTAATGCAAATTTTAGTTTTTTTTTTTTACAAATACTATTTGAAGTAGTTTCTAAAATTATATCTTTTAATTCGTCAATCATTTTATTTTATTTTTTATTTTTATTATTTTAACTAAAAATTCATTTTTATCTTTTATAATTTAAAATAAAAAACATTTTTTTAATTGCTAGGCTAAAAAAAGTGAAGTTTTGCATCTGAAATAAATTGTGAATTTTTTATTACAAAACTTCATCTATTCTCTTGCTCGTCGTTTTGACTCCACTTTCATCTTCCTATAATTTGGCTCTTGTTCTCTATCAGTCGATTTTCACTCTTTATTATCTATTGACCATGGCATTAAATATATTTTAATTTTATATTTAATTTTACACACAAAATATATATATATATATATATATATATATATATATATATATATATATATATATATATATATATATATATATATATATATATATATATATATATATATATATATATATATATATATATATATATATATATATATATATATATATATATATATATATATATATATATATATATAATTTTACGTAGGTTTATTATTACATTTATTTTATAAAAGATCAACTAAATTAATAACAACATATAAATATATAAGAGATAACAAACTCACTAAATTATTAATTAATTTTTTTTTTTTCATTTTACATATATCAAACGCAATTACTAACTTATCAAACATTTTAATTAATTTATTAATTATAAATTATTAATTATAAAATACAAATCATCAACCATAAACCATTAACAATAGACCATCTATTATAAATTAACAATAATTAATTTATAAGTTATCACCATCTAGTTTAAACGAGAACGTTAATACTCCAATTTATTGAAATATTACGCTAACATCTTTGATCATGAAAAACACTGGTGTTGAAGTTTAAATTTCTAATTCTAGAATTAGGGACCTCTCCATCCTGTCTTTCCTATGATTGGTTTCTGGATTTAGTTGTTTTAGCGTTGTTTGTTAGCCTGCTGTTCTAGTTGTTAGCTTGCGGTTTTAGTTAGGTTTCTCTATGGGAAAAGAAGATAACAAGTGGGTTGAGGTGAGAAGAAGAGTCCCGCAGACCAATGGGTTGAGGAGTTCTATTTGGATGGACAGAAGAGGGAAGAAACTGGAGAAAAATGAAGATATCTCGTCCTTCTTCTTCACTGAGGTTCCTGATGACTTTGGGGCCAAAGAGATGTTTGATGTCTTTAAGGAGTGTGGATTTGTTTGAGAGGTATTCATGCCGACAAGGTTGGATAAGAGAGAAAAAAGATTTAGTTTCGTTAGGTTCAGAAAGGTCAAGGACGTGAGAGTCATGGCTGCTAAATTAGATAGCATCCATATTAGGGGTAGAAAGGTATTCACAAATTTGCCCAAATTTAGTCGTTTGAGCCTAGCTCAGAGCTCCATTCCTCATGGTTAAAGGAGGGAGATATTAATTCTAAATATTTCCATGCCGTTTTGAATTCGAGATCAAGAAGTAACTTTATTTCGTCTATGAAAGTTGGTTCGTGCATTCTAGAGGATGTTTCATCCGTGAAGCAAGCTATTTTGGATGCTTTTTCTACTAGGTTCATGAAAACTGAAGGTTCAAGGCAGGTGCTTGCCTTAAGCTTACCATGGTGAATCGCGAGATGCTTCATGAAGAGTTTGCTGCTGAAGAAATTTATGAAGCAACTTGTGACTGTGATGGCTCCAAAAGCCCAGGCCCTGATGGGTTTAATTTGGAATTCTTAAAAAGATGCTGGAATGTTGTTGGGAAAGATGTGGTAGACTGCATTAAGGAGTTCCATGATACTGCGGTTCTTCTAAAAGCTTTACTGTCATCCTTCGTCGCTTTGATCCCAAAGAACCTCAATCCTCAAGGTTTAGAGAAGTATCTTCCCATAAGTCTCATTGGATTTATTTATAAGGTTATCTTCAAGATATTGGCTGCAAGGTTGGGAAAGGTCATTGGCAAGTTAGTTTCACGAAGTCAAACGACGTTTATTTCGGGTAGACAGATTTTAGATGGTGTTTTGGCAATCAACGAGATTATAGACTTAGCTACGAGAACGAAGCAAAGTTTTTTGTTGTTTAAAGTGGATTTTGCACAGGCCTACGATTGGGTGGAGTGGGATTTTTTGGAAAAAGTTTTGGAGGTCATGAATTTTAGTGAGAAATGGTTGAGTTGGATGAAAGGAGGAGCGCGTGTAGTAATTTTGTGTCTGTGATTGTTAACGACGGGACTACGCAAGATTTCAAAGGAACAAGGAGGTCAAGACAAGGTGACCCCTTGTCTCCGTTCTTGTTTGCAATCGTGGCTGAGGGGATAACTTGTTTAGTCCGTAGGGCTGGTATACAAGAGATGTTCTGTGGTTTTAGACTGAATGAGGTTGAAGATTTTAGTCTTGTTCAATTTATCGATGACACCATCCTCATTTGTATAGTTTCTGGGGGAATAAAAGCCATTCTTAGAGGTTTCGAACTTGTTTCAGGACTATGTATTAATTTCTGGAAGAGCTGTATTTATGGAGTGTGTGTAGATGTTGCATTCCTAAATGCTGCAGCATAATTTCTGCTATGTAGACAAGGAAGCATACCTTTTAAGTTTCTTGGTCTACAAGTGGGAGGTAATCATAGGAGGTACAATTTATGGAAACCGGTTATTGAGTGTTTTAAAGCAAGGCTATCAACTTGGCACGGAAGGTTGTCATCAATGGGTGGTTGGGTTACGTTAATAAACACTGTTCTTACGAACCTTCCAATACATCATATGTCTTTTTATTAAGCAACTGCTAAAGTGATCAAGGAACTGATTTCGATCCAAAGACGGGTCTTATGGTCAGGTTCGCTGGAGGTTTCGTCAATGGCATGGGTGAGTTGGAAATATATATGTAAACCAAAGGAGTTAGAAGGATTAGGAATAAAAGATATTGTACTCTTCAATAGGGTGTTATTGACTAAATGGGTGTGAAGAATTTTAAGTGATGATGATTCAATCTGGAAACCGATTTTATCTAACAAATATGGCTGCCACAAAAGAACTTTCTGTTTATTGCAGGATGTTGGCATCGCTCGTAGTCGATCATTATGATGGCGTGACTTATTGAAGATTGGGTTGTCACTAAAAACTGATTCATTCTTGAGCCAAGTCTCATCTAAAGTGGGAGATGGTTCCCTGGTTTCCTTTTGGCATGCTAGGTGGATAGATGTTGGCCCACTTCGCATCAGTTTTCCGGAACCGTATGATATGTCGAACATGAAGTTCGGATCTGTTGCAGAACATGGTGGCTGGTCACATGATGGTTGGCAATGGAATTTGGGATTTTAGTGTCACAGTTGGACGGAGGAGATGTTAGTGCAACATGATGAGCTGATGTTGTTATTACAGGAGCATATTCCCAATATGGGTGCATTGGATGGATTTACATGACCCAATTCGGTTAATAATTTGTTTTCTGTTAAAACATGTTACAATTTTCTTCTTCGGGTCAATTTGAACTTGAACGTCAAGATAGAAATTAATTCCAAGACCGCTCTTGAACTCCTGCGGCAATCCATGAAGGTGAAACTGTTTGGTTGGAGCCTATTATTGGATAGATTACCGACATGTTTCAATCTCGCGGCCAGGGCAGTAATTTCCGATCCCCATGATATAGTGTGCGTTTTTGTTGTTGTTTTAATGAAATTGAAACTATTGATCACATCATGATTACCTGCCCAAAGATTATGGTAGTTTGGAAAGCAATTTCGGAGTGGATTGAAGTTTT